TATTGAAAATACCATGGCTTGGGTCAGGCGCACCTTAGTCCTCAAGCTGACATCTTTGCTCTTCAATACTTTAAAGAAGTCTTGTGCAGTAGATTTGCCTAATACAGTACATCGTTTGATTTCTTGACAGCTGTTTCCATGAGTGTTGATACTTGATCCAAGAAGAATAAAGTCCTTGACAACTTCAGTCTTTTCTCCGTTGTTGATAAGAATGTTGTTTATTGGTCCAGTGGTGAGAACTTTTGTTTTCTTTACATTGAGATGCAAACCATACCGAAGGCTGTGCTCTTTGATATTCATCAGTTAATGTTTTAAGTCCTTTTCACTTTCAGCAAGCAAGGTTGTATCATCTCCATCTTGCAGGTTGTTAATGAGTCTTCCTCCAATCCTGATGCCTTGTTTTTCTTCATATCACCCAGCTTTTTGGATTATTTGCTCAGCATACAGGTTGAATAAGTATGGTGAAAGAATACAATCCTGTCTCACACCTTTCTTAATTGTAAAACATTCAGTGTTCCCATGTTCTGTTTGAACAACTGCCCCTTGGTCCATGGACAGATTCCTCATGAGCACAATTAAGTGCTCTGGAATACTCATACTTTGCAATATTGTCCTTAGCTTGTCATGATCCACACAATCGAAAGCCTTTGCGTAATCAATAAAACACAGGTAAACATCTTTCTGATATTCTCTGCTTTCAGCCCAGATCCATCAGACATCAGCAATGATATCCCTTGTTCCATGGCCTCTTCTGAATCCAGCTTGAACCTCTGGATGTTCTCTGTCAATGTACGCTTGCAGCCATTTCTGTATTTCCTTTAGTAAAACTTTACTTGCATGGGACATAATGAGATTGTCCGATGATTTCCGCATTCCGTTGGGTCATCTCTCTTTGGAATGGGCACAAATATGCATCTCTTCCAATCAGTTGGCCAGATAGTTGTCTTCCAAATTTCTTGGAAGAGATGAGTGAGTGCCTCCTGTGCTGCCTTACTTTCTTGAAAGATTTCAATTTTTATCCCATCAAATCCTGATGCCTTGTTCTTCGCCAATTCCTTCAATGCACCTTGGACTTCCTTCTGTATTATTGGCTCTTTATCATATGCTACCTCTTGATACAGTTGAACATCAACCATTATCTTTTGGTACAGTGACTCTGTGTATTCCTTCCATCTTCTCTTGATGCTTTCTGCATCATTCAATCATTTGCCCAGAGAATCCTTCAATAATGAAAGTCAAGGCTTGAATTTCTCCTTCAGTTCCCCCAGCTTGAGAAATGCTGAGCATGTTCTTCCTTTTTTGGTTTTCTGACTCCAGATCTTTGCACATTTTGTTGTAATATTTGGCTATGTTTTCTCTAGCTGATCTTTGACATTTTCTGTTCAGCTCTTGGACTTCCTCATTTTTTCCATTTGCTTTGGCATCTCTACGTTGGAGAGCAAGTTTCAGTGTCTCTTCTGACATCCATTTTGACCTTCTTCTTTCTTGTCTTAATGACTTTTTGCTTTCTTCCTGTATGTTGTTCTTGATGTCATCCCACAACTCTTCTGTTCTTCAGGCTTTAGTGTTTAATGTGTCAAATCTGTTCTGCAGATGATCTCTAAATTTAGGTGGGATGTATTCAAGGTCATATTTTGGCTCTCGTGGACTTGTTTTCATTTTCTTCAGCTTTAGTTTGAATTTGCATATGAGTAATTGATGGGTCTGTTCCACAGTCTGGCCTTGGCCTTGTTTTCACTGATGATATGGAGCTTTTCCATCTTCTTTTTCCACACATGTAGTCAATTTGATTTCTGTTTATTCCGTCTGGTGAGGTCCATGTGTATAGTCGTCTGTTATGCTGCCTAAAGAAAGTATTTGAAATGAACAAATCATTGAATTTGCAGAATTCTATTATGAGATCTCCAGCATTATTTCTATCATCAAGGCCATATTCTCCAGCTACTGGTCCTTCCTCTTTGCTCCCAACCTTTGCATTCCAATTACCAGTAATGATCAGTACATCCTGATTGAATGTTTGATCAATTTCAGATTGAAGAAGATCATAGAATTCTTCTATTTCATCCTCACTGGCTTAAGTGGTTGGTGTGTAAATTTGAATAATAGTGGTATTAACTGGACTTCCCTGTAGACACATAGGTTTTATCCTATCACAGACAGCGTTGTACTTCATGACTGATGAGGATATGTTCTTTTTGACAATGAATGCAACACCATTCCTCTTCAATTTGTCATTCCTGGCATAGTAAACCATGTGGTCATTAGATTAAAAATGGCCAATACCAGTCCATTTCAGCTCACTAATTCCTAAGATATCGATGTTTATGCGTTCCATTTCATTTTTTATAATTTCTAATTTTCTTAGATTCATACTTCGTATATCCCATGTTCCGATTACAGCTGTTTCTCTTCATTTTGAGTCGTGCCCCATCAGCCAATGAAGGTCCCGCGGACTTTTCTCCCACGGAGTTTACTCCATTGGCGTCATCATGGTGAAGTCTACTTTGAGTGCTTTATTTGTTATATTACCATGCCTTTCTTTGTAGCACTTTGCAGATACTGTAGTTTTGTTTTTTTTTAAGTTAAAGTTGATGATAACCCTGCTCCACTGTTTCCAATAGGCTGTGCTTCATGTCTGTGTCCCACGTAGATAATTCACATTATTCCAGAATTTTTCATCATGCTGTTTCACACCTAATAGATTGCACTGAGGTGTGAACATACTTTTTATATGTTATGTCATCGATGGGAAACCAAGTGTTAGTGTCCCTCCCTTTATTGTGATACTTTGTTGCCATGGTCTTGATGCAAACCTGCAATACCTCCGATATATGAGAGATTTTTCTTACTGTGTCCTTGTTGTTGTTGTTGTTGTTGTTGTTGTTGTTGTTGTTGTTGTTGTTAAGTACCGTGGAGTTGGTTTTAACTCCTAGTGACCCTGCACAGGGGTTTCAAGGCTATAAATCTTTACAGGAGCAGAAGGCCTCATCTTTCTCCCGTGGAACCGCAGGTAGTTTCGAACTGCTGACCGTGAGGTTGGCAGCCCAGCTCCTAACCACTGCTCTACCAGAGCTCCTTTAAGCAGCACTTTATTCTCTCTCAGTGTTCTCTGGGCTGGCAGCTCCTCTGGGCACCTCTGTTGTTGAGTCTCAAGAAGTTGGCAGACTGATAGCAGCTGAGGCTGGGTCAGCTGAAGACCTTGCTGAGCCCGATGCTCAACTTGGCCTCTTCACTAACTGCTGGACAGGCTGGGACGGTGACAGACGGGCTGGCCACCTCTCTGCGTGTGGCTCCTTCATGAACTAGCTGGGCTTTCACAGAACCTGGCTGTCTGAGAGCTCCTACAGGGCAGTGGACTTCTCCCAGAGTGAACATTCCAAGATACCTGAGCCTTTTAAAGTAGATACTTCATCTGATGTGTTTTTTTTTTTTCAAAATCAGAAGTAAGATAAATACATTGGGACATTCATCTAGAAAATACCACTAAAACATATGTAAGTTATTTGTAACTTATTTTTTACCTATAGTATATGTTGTGTTGTGAATAAATTTTTCAAAGCTTGATATAAGAATTTAGGCATCTTAGGAATTTTTTTGACACTTCCTAAGACAGATTCATTAAATAACAGATTCATAACAAAATCCATACAAAAACTGTGTGAGGATTGTTTATATACTTCCTCATTTCTCTGTCTGCACACGAGACAGTGATATAAATATAGTGTTGTCATTGTCATTGTTAAGTGCTGTCAAGCCCGACTCAGTGACCCTGTATAAAGTTCCAAGACTGGAAATCTTGACAGGAGCGGAGAACCTCACCTTTCTCCCACAGAGTGGCTGGTGGGCTCAAACCGCCAACCTTGTAGCTTTCAGTCCAATGCTTGTTTTAGTGGAATTTTCGCTGTGAGTTAGATTTGCCTTAAGCCTGTAAATGAAGAACTAGTGAAATACGTTCAGCCAGAAGATGTGGCAACGCGGGCCCTTGAAGTACCAGAATCGGGACATCTCTGCAGACTGGGAGGGCACATTGCCCCATCAGAAAGAAATCAGATGCCTGTGGTTTCTAGAGGAACTGGTTGGAAACATGGCTTTGTACCACAAGTCATGGTTTTTAACTAATGAGTTCAGCAAAGGCTTCAGGACTTTGAAACCAGAACATGATCATGCCTTTGCGTCTCTTTGAACTCTATGACATACCTCTTTCTTTCCTGTTGTCATTTATTTGCTGATGAAAAGGATTTGTTTACCCTGTTGTTTCCCACAGAAGTGGCTTTTTTAAAAAAACTGAAACAATACTTCATTATGTCCCAGGTGAAAGTTTACACAGCGAGCTAGGTTCACGCTGGCTTTTGTTGGTTGGATCCTTGTGGGACACTTTGTTCCTCTGTCCTGTATTCCCTGTGAATTGGTAGTTGGACATAGGAGACCTAGGGACTTGATCTGTTGTTGTTATTAAGTGCCATTGAGTCGGTTTTGACTCATAGTCACCCTAGTGACCCTGTATAGGGTTTCTGAGGAGTGGCTGGTGAATTTGAACTGTCGACCTTGCAGTTCAAACTGACCTTGTGGTCTAGTGCTTATCTTGCAGCGCCTCACCAGGACTCAATGAGACATCTTTGCACTTTGACATTTTAAAGAGGTCTTTTGCAGCCGATGTGTCTAATGCAATACATTGTTTAATTTCTTGAGTACTGTTTCCATGGTCATTTATTGTGGATTCAAGTAAAATGAAATCCTGGACAGTGTCAGTCTTTTCTCTGCTTACCATGATTTTGCTTATCGGTCTAGTTAAGAAGATTTTTGTTTTCTTTTGGTTTGTTTAGAAAAAAGTAAGTTCTTGCGGGAAACTCTTCTTTGGATTTCATCAGTGCACATAGTTTAAAAAGGGATGTTTATATATGTCCCCCATCTAGTGGTGGGAATTAGGCTCTTGGTTGGATAAACTGCAGTGGAGCCCCTTTAACGGTTGAGGAAACTTACTGTTTGTGTTGTTATTTCACAGTGTAATGTTCAAGTTCAGAAATGCCTTATGTGGATCGTCAGAATCGCATTTGTGGTTTTCTCGACATTGAAGAAAATGAAAACAGTGGAAAATTTCTTCGGAGGTACTTCATTCTGGATACCAGAGAAGATAGTTTTGTGTGGTACATGGATAATCCACAGGTTTGTAAACTCCCAAGTGTTAACTTCGTAAAACATGCAAATGTTTTATTTAGTGAAGTGCTTGGTATATGGTACAGGCCTTAGGATTTGTCTTCTTGAACAGGATGTGTTTCCAAATACATAAACAGTGTTTATTTGAACATGAGTCTAAATATCTCCTGCTCCACTCCCCTGCTGTGCACCCCTATCTTATTTGAAGTCATGAAAGCAAATTTATCTGATAAAAAGTATTGCCTGTGTGTACATGTTTGCCTCTCCCTGAGAGAGAAGCACCAGCTTTGGTAGAGAATTCGCAGCCATAATGTAAGGTTCTGCTAAGAAGATGACCTAAATGACTTAGTAATAGATTTCCTGGGTGGCACATTCAGCTGCTAACTGACAGGCTTTAGTCCACCCAGAGGCACTGCAGAAGAAGAACCTGGCAGTCTGCTTCCCAAGACTCGGCCCCTGTGGAGCCCCTTTCTAGTCCCACACAAGGGTTCATTTGCCCTGAGTTGGAATTGATTCAGTTGCATCCGGTTGCCTTTTTAGCTTCAAGTACTTGAAACTCTTGCACGTATATAATCCTTTCATCTCAGAGTGCCACACGTGGGCATCAGTCAGTGCAGTACCATTCGTGAATGAAATACACGTTGATCTTATTGCTGCCTTTGAAAACATGGGGGTCACTGTCATCAATTAAAAATAAGAATCCCAGCTCTAAGATCTGAGAGACCTTAGATTAGAGATCATCTTTTGAGCAGTTTTCAACTTTCTTTGTCTGTGAAACTCTTTTATCTGCAAATAAGAACTGTTAGAAAACAGCTAAAGATAGAGATGTCTGATGGAGGGGACAATGGGTGCTGAACAAGGGATGCAGCTCCAGGGACCCTACAACTCACTGATTGTGTGGGCATCTTATACAGGGAGTGAGGAGCGGAAGGTCTCGGGGAGAGTGGACGCTGGAAGGAGCTTCATTCTGTCCACAGAGCAGGAGTCGATTCCGACTCATAGTGACCCTGTACAGGGTTTCCGAGGCTGTAAATCTTTACGGGAGCAGAACGCCTCATCTTTCTTTGGCAGAACAGCTGGTGGTTTCAAATTGTTGACCTTGCGGTTCACAACCTGATTTATAACTGCTACGCTACCAGAGCTCCAGCCCCTGGTAATTAACGTTTGTCACTACCCGGTACTGAGTTTTAGATTCTGATATTAGAGACTGTGAGTTGAAAGGGGCCTGGGTATTCATTCAGCCGCCTCCTCAACAAAGCTCTGGTGTGGTGCTGTAGGATAAGTGCTAGACTGCAAGGTGGGTTTGAACTGCAAGGTCAGCGGTTCAAACTCACCAGCCGCTCCTGGGAAACCCTATACAGGGTCACTATGACTCGATGGCACTAAAACAAACCTCAATGCAGGAAAGCCTAGTCTGCGTGTTAGCTGTTGTTTGAACTGCACTTTGGTCAAATGCATTCATTACATTTGGGACAAGTGTAATAACGTCTCTGTGATCCAAAATCTAGATCCTTGAATCTTCTACCCCTTAATACTAGTTTTGCCGCATTAATCCTGGCTCTCTGTAAAGATTGCTTAATCCTTTTTCTATGTGTAGCCTTTCAAATTCTGAAGGAAAGTTAGTATTTTAATTCTGCTCTTGCTATTGGAGTGCTGATTGTGTGTGAGACTCGTGTTTTCAACAGGATCTGCTCCTTGTCTACTCCTGTAAAGCCTATTGGCTCTCTGTTGTCCACCTTTACCAGCCGCCTTCGCGGGGCCGGTTGTGCTGTGGGTATGCACTGCATGATTATTACCTTTTGTAGAAATGCTGTGGGGACGCTGTCTGACCTCTTCTGACATCACAAGGAGAAATATGATGTCACAAGGGGAAAAGAGCAACACACTCATCAGCCCAGGGTGAGACCGAGGTCGGCTACGCTCCACCCTCCAACCTTTCTTACCAATTTCTGACACCAGCTGTTCCTCCCACAGCACTCTGCTTTTCCGCTGGGTTTGGTCGCTCATTGCAATGGCCACACTGAACTCACAGACAGTCCTCACGAGTAGTGTAGGTAACAGGGGACATTTCAGGAATAGAAATGTTCAGGGTACAGTTCTTGATCAAGACAGCCTCTTCTCTGCCATCCCCACAGACTGCCCTCTCATGATGTCCTTCTCCAGGAACTGGTCCCTCCTGATAATATGTCCACAGTGTGAGAGACGAAGTTTGACCATCCTGATTTCTAAGGAGCACACTGGTTGTACTTCTTCCAACACAGATGTGTTTGTTCTTTTGGTAGTCCATGGTACTTTTCATATTCTCATCCAGCATCATAACTCAAATTCATCAGTTCTTTTACTGTCTTCTTTATTCATTATCCACTTTCACATGCTTATGAGATTATTGAAAATACCATGGCTTGGGTCAGGCGCACCTTAATTCTCATACTGACATCATTTCTCTTGAACACTTTAAAGGGGTCTGGTGCATCAGATTTGCTTGATTTCTTGACTGCTGCTTCCATGAGTACTGATGGTTGATTCAAGCACAATGAAGTTTTTTAACAACTTCAATCTTTCTCCATCTCTCTTGATGTTATCTATCGGTCTAGTGGTGAGGAATTTAGCTTTCTTTACATTGAGATGCAACCCATGCTGTGGACCTTTATCTTCTTCAGTAGGGATTTTATGCCCTCTTCACTCCAGCAAGCAGTGTTGTTAATGAGTTTTCCTCCAATCTGGATGCCACGTTTTTTTTCATATAACTCAGCTTCTCAGATTATTTGCTCAGCATATAGATTGGATAAGTATGGTGAAAGAATACAACCCTGGCACACACCTTTTCTATTTTTAAGCAAGTCAGTGTCCCCTTGTTCCATGTGGTCTTTGTACAGGTTCCTCACAAGCACAGTTGTGTTCCAGAATATTCATTTTCTGCAATATAATCCTTAGCTTGTCATGATCCACACAGTTGAAGCCTTTGCATAGTTAATAAAGTACAAGTAAACATCTTTCTGTGTCAGGCAAGATCCATGTCCTTATCTGACCTCTGCTTTACCCCTGGCGATTCCTTGTCAATGAACTAGTGCAGGCATTTTAAATAATCTTTAGCAAAATTTTACTTCATTAGATATTAATGATAGTCTGATGATTTCTGCCATTGGGTCACCTGTCTTTATAATGGGCACTAATATGAATCTCTTCCAATCAGTTGACCAGGCAGCTGTCTTCCAGATTTCTTGGCAGAGATGAGTGAGGGCCTCCAGTGCTGCATCAGTTTGTTACAAGATTTCAGTTTGTATTGCATCAACTCCTGGTGCCTTGTTATTTGCCAGTGCCTTCAGTGCACTTCTTTCTTCTGTATCATTGGCTGTTGTTCTTATGTTGCCTCTTGAAATGGTTGAACATTGTCCATTTCTTTTTGATGCACTGACTCTGTGTATTTCTTCCATCTTGTTTTGATGCTTTCTGCAGCGTCATTCAATATTTTGCCCATAGACTCTTTCAATATGGCAGGTTGAGGCTTGAAATTTTTCCTCAGTTTCCTCAGCTTGAGAAATGTTGAGCATGTTCTTCCCTTTTGGTTTTCTAACTCCACATAAATCTTTGCACATTTCATTATAATATTTGACTTTGTCTTCTCAAGCTGACCTTTGACATTTTCCATTCAGCTCTTTTATCTCATTCTTCCATTTGCTTTAGCATCTTGTACACTGGAGAGTAAGTTTCAGAGTCTCTTCTGACATCACTTCTTTCTTGTCTTCTTAATGGACTTGTGCTTTTTTCCTATATGATGATCTTGCTGTCATCCCACAACTCTTCTGGTCTTTGAGTATTTGTGTCTAATTCATCAAATCTCTTCTTGAGATTATATCTAAATTCAGTTGGGAAATGTTCACGATCATATTTGGGCTCTCATGGACTTGTTTTAATTTTCTTCAGCTTCAGCCTGAAGTTGCATATGAGTAATTGATGGTCTGGTCCACAGTCTGCCCCTGGCCTTATTTTGGCTGATGATACGGGCCATTGTCACCATCTCTTTACAGATATAGTCAGTTTGATTTCTTTGTATTTCATCTGCTGAGGTCCATGTGTATAATTGTCTTTCATGTTGTTTAAAAAAGGTATTTGCAATGAAGAAGTCATTGGTCTTTTAAAGTTCTGTCATGGGATCTTCAGCATCTTTTCTATCACCAGGCCATGTATTTCCAACTATTGATCCTTCCTCTTTGTTTCCAACTTTCGCATTCCAATCATCAGTAATTATCAATACATCTTGATTGCTTGTGTGATCAATTTCAGACTGAAGAAGGTGGTAGAATTCTTCAATTTCATCATCACTGGCTTTAGTGGTTGGTGAGTCAATTGGATAGTGAGATTAACTGGTCTTCCTTATTGGCATATGGATATTATCCTATCACAGACAGCCTTGTACTTCAAGATAGATCTTGAAATGCTCTTTGTGATAATGAATGTGATGCCATTCCTCTTCGATTTGACATTCCTGGCATAGTAAACCATGTGGTTGGCATATTCAGAATATCCAATACCAGTCCATTTCAGCTCACTAATGCCTAGGATATTGGTGTTTATGCGTTCCTTTTCATTTTTGACAACTTGCAAATTTTCTAGATCCAAACTTCACATATTCCATGCTCTGATTATTAATGGATGCTTACAGCTTACTCCTCATTTGAGTTGTGCCCCATCAGCAAATGAAGGTCCTGAAAACTTCACTCCTTCCTTTTGCATCATCACTGTCAACTCTTTGACAAGGTGTTTCGTCCCTAGTCGTATTTTGAGTGCCTTCCAACCTGAGGAGCTCATTTTCCAACACTCTATCTGGTAATATTCTGGTGTTCTTCATCATGTTTCATTATTCAATGCTCTGGTGCTGTCGGGCAGTGTTGCACTGCTATTCATTCATAAGGTTTTCAGTGACTGAATATTCGGAAGTAGTCTGTCTCTCCTTCGTCCTAGTCTGTCTTAGTCTGGAAGCTCAGCTGAAACCTTTCCAGGATGGGGTGACCCAGTTGGTATTGAAAATACTGGTGGCACAGCTTCCAGAATCACAGCAACAAGCAAGCCACCAGAGTACGGCAAGCTGACAGATGAGTGGTGGGGCAGAAGGGTCCAAGTGGACAATCCCCAGGTGAAAGTTCCAAGTTTGTATAGTCATTATTAATCCTGTTAACAGCCACTTACAATTGAATCATATCATCCTGTTAGCATCTTCTCCCACCTTCTCTTACCCAAACTCATCATGAAAAGACAGAATACACCGAATTGACAGGATTCTAGCCAGTTATTTGGTGGGAGTTACAAAGACTGCTAGAAGAGCTTATTACTCACATCATTGTGTCTTTGCTGATTTGACCAGTCATCAAGAGCAACAATCGAAAGCTCATGTTTGCCATTTTTTGCATAACTCATTCCTCCTTCTCATGACCCCACAGCATATCTGTGGCACAGTTCTCTCCCTGAGGTCTTTTCCCAAGGTGGGCGCTAGTTTACGCCTCCCAGATTCTCTCTAATTACTATTTACTGGGCTGCACTTCCTGGTTCTCTCACCCTTGTGGTTGTGAGAATTGAAGCCACTCTACACTTCCTGCTCATTTTCTCTCCCTGATTTTCATCTCTTCACAAGGTCAGGTTGACTTATGTATGGTTTTTCCTGAATTTTTCTTTAAATGGTTTTCTGTCTTCATACATAATAGATTCACAATTCCCCCCTTTTTTCAGTTCTTCCCACTTAACAGGACTAAAAGAAAGTAAAGAAAAAAATTGAATATGATCATCACCCAGAAGGAAATAAACTTAGAATTCAAATGGAAGAGTGCTTTTATAGCTAGCATAAAGAATTGGAAGTCTAGTGCTTATCATACAGGCCCACCAGGGCTCCTTGTTCCTCTTACAGATCTATCCATGGGATGACTTCATTCCAGACCTGAGGAGTGACTGAGGTCCCACCAGTAAGCTGTTTCTCTGATTTTGAGTTTCGTTCCACATTTTCTCTCACTCTGTCCAGCACCTTCTAATGGGATTCCTTTCAGAGCAGTTGGTCGTGGTAGCAGGTACCATCTAGTTCTGGTCACGGCATACTGGAGACTGATGCTCATGTGGTCCATCAGTCCACTGGACTAATTGTTTCATTGTATCTTCAGTTTTCATCACTCCTGACAGGAGAGATGGGTAGCTGCACTGTAGAGGGCTGCTCATGAGCCTATAAGAGCCCCAAAGCAGGATGTAGAACATTGTCTTTGAGGACTATGTTATGACAGTTGATCGTAGTATCCCCTGAACTGTGGTCCTGAGCCCCAAGGCCCAGCAGTGATCTTGAGGACACTTTCCTGTTTCATTTAACAGGAAAAGAACCTAAAATTAGCAACAAAAACAGCAAATCAATAAATATGAAACATGCATTAGAACACAATTAACCTTTTAAAGTTATACATTATAAACTGTTACTTAACATTTAAAATTCATCTTTACAGTGTTGTACGTAGTAGACAGTTGAAAGCAGAATATGATGTAGTTCTGCAGTACACAAGAGTGATCATTATTAATAGACTTGTTCCTGCCAGCAGTAACCAGTTTATGTTTAGGAATCTAAGTCTTTGAAATGTCTGGGCTTCCATATAATTAACTATGTCCAATAGGCTAATACACGGCTGAGAAGGTACCTCCCAACCGTTCATGAATAGTCCATAGACCTTTTTTAATGTACATTAGCATACAGACAATTAAAAAGTTAATTCTGCTAATCCCCATTTGAGGTAGCTTTGAAAATCAAGGTTCTCTCAGCTTTTCTTTTGAAATCTTCATCCGGTCTTTGATTTCTAGTCTTTATTTCATTTTCTCATATTCTTTTATCTGGTTTTCTTGACTTCCGTCGTTGTATTACCAGACTTATTAATTAAAGAAAATTTTGATTACAGATCTGCTCAAAAACCTGCTTCAGTGGTTTCAGATTTTCAACAGTTGAACCCCTTTGTAGGTAATCTTTTTATGTAGGTCCCTAGGGTTAGAGAGTAATGTGGCACCATAGAAAACTGGACTCCTTTCCATAAGGTTGGCGGTTCTAGTACACCAACCGCTTAGAGGGAGAAAGATGAAGCTGTCTGTGTCGGTAAAGATTTACAGCTTCAGAAACCCTGTAAAGGGTCACTGTCAGTCAGAACTGACAGGGCAGCATTTAGCAATAACAGATAACCTAGAATTAGGTTCTCAGTGTAATTTCCAGAAGTATTGTTACTATATGGAAACCCCAGTAGCGTAGTGGGTTACAAGTTGGGCTTCTAACGTCAAGGTTGCGATTTGAATCTATCAGCCACTGCAAGGGAGAAAGATGAGACTTCCTGCTCCCATAAAGATGTACAGCCACAGAAACCCTAGAGAGGGTGGCTATGGATCGGAACAAGTTTCACAGCACCCAACCACCACCACCACCATTTTCTATACAACCCTCTACATACAGCACCTCCCCAGTGCATCTAGTGCTTTGGGGCATTCTCATCTTATTTTCCTTAGCTCTATCTGTCTTCTCTGCCTGAAAGTCTCTCTCCCAATCCTCATAGTCCAAGATTTTGCCCATTCTTCAGGGTCCAGCTAAATGTCTTTGATAGTTGTTTTTGTTATGTGCCGTGGAGTTGGTTCCGCCTCATAGTGATCCTGTACAGGGTTTCCGAGGCTGTAAATCTTTACAGGAGCAGAAAGCCTCATCTTTCTCCCGTGGAATAGCTGGTAGTTTTGAATTGCTGACCTTGCTGTTCACAACCCTAGTCCTAATCACTATGCTACCAGAGCTTGTAAAATGATTCTCCTTCATCTGAATTCTTTACCTTTAGCTTTTTTTTTTTCCTTCTAGTGACACAAACCATTTTCCAAACTTGCGAAGGGAAGAGGAATAAAATTATTTTATATAGACCTGCCATTAACACATTCCCTTCATATGCTTTAAAAACATATGAATAGTGTTTTAGGGGGAAAGTATCAATATATATTAAATATGATGTTGTTGTTGTAAAGTGCTGTCGAGTCGATTGTGACCCATAGTGACCCTACATAGAGTTTCGGAGGAGTGGCTATGAGCTATAATGTAATAAGTACTAAACCTTTTAAATGGGGAAATCTAATGCATTGTCTTCAAGAAACATACTTGGTGAAATACAATTCTAGTACAAGATACATAAATATGTTGTTAAGTGCCATCAAATCAGTTCTCACTCACAGTGAGTCTCCTGTGGCGCCATAGGCTAAACACTTGACCTCAAGGTTGGTTTGAACCACAAGGTTGTTGTTGTTAAGTGCCATCAAGTCGGTTCTGACCCAGAGCAACCCCATATAGGGTTTCCGAGGAGCAGCTGGTGAGCTTGAACCACCAACCTTGCAGTTCAAATGGCTTTGCAGTCTGGCGCATTAACCCACCGCGCCACCCCAAGACTCCAGGACCACAAGGTTGGCTCACCAGCCACTCCTCCAAAACCCCATACAGGGTCGCTATGAGTCGGAACCAACTTCTCGGCACTTAACAACAACAGTTACATAGGGTTTACATCGCAGGAGCAGAAAGCCTCACAGATGTAGCTTTTTGAAATGTCTTATAATTGGTTTTGTTTTATGTGTTTGTACTGTCTTTCCTGTGTGTTTAGCAACAAACTCAAATACTGTTTATGGCTATTTAAAGCAATGAAAAAGAAACTTGTCTTAGTTACAATGACAAAAAAAGTAGCCTTTTAGCTACAGAATGCATTGAAGAACAGTAGGATTCGGTTCTGTTGTGATTTCAGACTTAGTAAATAGAACTGAAAAGGGTGGTTTGTAGAGTGTGATGTTAATAAAATTTAATTTCTCAACATAGTATGTTTGGAACATTTTAATATAAACTAAATGCACAGTGCTGCATATTAACTTACTGTTAACACACTAATGATTTGTTTCCAGAACCTACCTTCTGGATCATCCCGAGTTGGAGCCATTAAACTCACCTACATTTCAAAGGTAGTCTTTATACTCATCTTCTATTCCTGCATGAATTAAAATCCCTCATTGTCTTATAGTCCCTGGGAATGGGAGTGTCCACTGTGATGATACTTAGGTTTCCATCATGCTGAAACTGTGCCTGATTTGTTATGTTTAGGAAGTTATTGAAACTGATGACATTTGAAAAACTATTAGGTTAATTTACAGGATGTGGCAAATTACAAAAGGCTGCGTCAACATTTGTGGCCAGGTACCTGAACGTCAGAAAAAAAATCACTTGACAAGTAGGCTCTGTGTTTGTCAGTCTGAAGTTGAGTTTTCTAAGTCTGTATTAGGTCTATTTAAACTTTAAAAAAATTCTCTTATTTTTGACATATTTTCTGTCTTTTTTTGAAGAAAATGAAGACCATCTTCATTTTAAAAGTGATGCTTATATTTTATTATTTATTTATTTGTTTTTCTGGCATTTTTGCTATACTGTTTTTCTTTTAAATTTTTTAAGATTTGCTAATGATCAAGGAGTTCTTTTCCACACTTTTCTTTTGTTTGTGTTTGGGGGACTTAGAGATGCTTGAGAAGTTAGCCATGTGGAGTTTTTTGACACAAAAGCAATTAGAGTTTGTTGATAGCTTCAAAATATGAGATGTGAGAGATAGCAGCAAAGTATGATTAGATAATATGCATATGCATGGTGTTATGCATAAATTAGAATTCGTTTATAGTAAGTCCCTGGGTTCCATATGTTGTTGTTAAGTGCCCTCTGGTCGGTTCTGACTCGTAGCGACCCTGTATAGGGTTTCCAAGGAGCAGCTGGTGAATTTGAACCTCTGACCTTGCAATTCAAACTGACCTTGCAGTCCAGCGCATTAACCTGCAGTGCTAATGTCATGTAAATTTGCACTCACTTTGAAACAATTGAACCCTTACTCCTTCCTCACAACAGTGACCTTCACTGCTGACCCTGCTGCTTTGAAATCATTGAAAAGGCTTAGAGCAACCTCCTCCTCCCCCCTCAGTCAGTTCCAACTCATCATGACCCTATATTGGCTTTTGAGACTATAAATCTTTACAGAATCAGACAACGCCATCTTTCTCCCACAGAGTTGCTGGTGAGTTTGAACCGACAACCCTGTGATTAACAGTAGTGTGATGCTTATCCGACAGCTCGCCAGGACTCTTTCACTTGCACTGAAGTCAGGCTCCATAAGAATCATATTCACCTGTCCTGACTTATGTACAAACTTACTTGGAACCCTGGCATTTCAGGCATGGATAATCACTTCAACAGAAGACCAATTTGTAGACTTGTCTCGATTTACAAGACAGATATTTTCATAAATCAAGTTGACCAGGAAGAGGTGGATTGATACAGTGGCAGCAGCAGTGGTCTCAAAGGAAACAAATTGTGAGGATGGCGCAGGGACCAGGCAATACTTCCTTCTGTTGAGCAGAGCTTGCTATGAGTCAGAACCGACTTGATGACACCTAACAACAACAACAGTATCTCAGTAAAGCTACTACGATTCTCCCTGATCAAAAGGAATCAAACCTTAGCCCTTGGATAACCAAGATTACATATTTAAAGGGAAACATTTTCTGTTCAAACCATATTATGTGTAAAGTTACAAAAGACAAATAAAAGTACACTTTATTTATTCCTATAAATCAAGACATTTATAAAGGCTTCCAAGTAGCAAGTGGCTTTAATTTTTTTTTTTTTTTTTTTTTTTAATTTAAGGTTTTTATTGTGGATTGAGTGAAAGTTTACAGGGCACATCATCAGTTTCACATTCAACAATTCATATAACTTGTTTCATTACATTGATTATAATCCCCTCCATATACCATCAGTTAAAAGTATTTCTCTTTATCCACTTTAGCTTTTTTTTAAAAAACAAGTGGCTTTAATTTTATAGTGACTTTTATTAGGAAGTACAGAGTTCCATTGTAAGATCAATTTTAGACCCCTAATTTGCTTGCTTGTGTTACTGGTGTGTGCACTTTGGTAAGCACTTGGAACTTGCAGTGAAGTGCTGTGGAATGATCCACTTTAGTGACCTAGGTGGTGAGGGAGAGGGGGCCCAGCTGCCTATACCAACTGCGTGGTGCCTGGTGTTTTTTCAAAGGCAGCTGTTTACCCAGTGAAGCAGGCAGGGTTACTGGCCCACTGCTCCCCGTTTAAAACATATAACCTCTTTCTGAACTTGTGTTCGCTTTATTTCTGTCCCACAGTCGACTGAAGTTTGAATTGTATACTTTGTACTTTGCTTTAGACATGTCTCCCCCCCACTTTTTTTTCCCCCAGAACTTATTCCTGAAACAAACTTCAGTATAACTCAACCTTTGAATTTGTCCTTAGGATCAGTCAGGAACCCCAGACTTAGAATTCCTTCTGAAGGGACAGAATAGATGCTACAATTAGGAATTTTTAACACTAGGCAAGAGCAGGGCATTGGTAATGCTGGGCTTCTAAGAAAGCTAGCTTCTTCACAGGAATGCCTTCTAGAACAAGCCATGTGCTTCATTTAAGAAGGTGACCTCATTCTCCTGGGTATTCTGTTAGAAGAAGGAGTTAAGAACCATGTGACTTCCTCATAGCCGATTAATGCCTTTTGGATTTTTGGTTTGTAAGTACACAGTCTTCTCCTTGCCCACTACAAGTATCCGCATAGTTAGTGTTGTTGTATTGTTGAGTCAGTTCCAACTCGTAGCAACCCTGTATAGGGTTTATGAGGAGCAGCTGGTAAGTTTGAACTGCCACCTTGTGGTTAGCAGTCCAGTGCTTATCCTACCATACCACACAAGGAGTTAATTTAGAAATATGCAATTTGGCAAGAATTTATATTGTCTATAGAGTATCTCTATAGAGGATGTTTGAAAAAAATCATTGAATTCAAGGTATTTGTATGTGAGACCTAAAGTCTGCTGGTGTGCTTCCAACCTCTTCACATTTCTTTTGAAGATAAGTTTGTTTAGAGAAAATATGGAAGTATCTTTGTTTTAAACATCGTACCGTTTGTATCTGGATCCTAAATTCATCGTTTTCAGTTTCATTAGAACTATATGCTGCAAAGAATCTGGGTGTGGTGCTGTAGCATAAGCACTGGACTATTAACCAGAGGGTTGGCGGTTTGATCTTACTGGCCGCTGCAAGGAAAAGATGAGGCTTTCTGCTTCCCTAAAGATTGGCAGCCTCAGAAGCCGTATGCTGGGTTGTTAGGAGTCGGGAACTCACTTCGGTGGCACTGAACAACAGCAGTAATTCACTTTTTTTTTTCCTTCTCTTTTTACTGTCAGGTTAGCGATGCAACTAAGCTAAGGCCAAAGGCAGAATTCTGTTTTGGTAAGTAACCATGCTTTATACTTTTGTTTCAGATATTTAAAGTTAGACTAGTAGCCCTACATCATATTGTTTGCTGTTGTACCTCTTCTTTGTGTTTATGTATTTTATTTGTATCTGATGTATGTTTCACTGTATTTGGCTCCTATCCTTCATTTACTGTATAACTCTCACCTGTATTCATAGAGAGGTCCAGTAACAGCAACAATGGACTCAAGTGGAGCAAAAATTGTGAGCCTGGCGTAGAACCGGGCAGTGTTTCGTTCCTATAGGGTTGCTATGAGTCAGAACCAACTCGAAGGCACCTCACAACAACAGAATGTGGTCAATGGCAGTCCCCTCGGCATTGGTTTTGATTGAATTGAAGTCTAGAAACTAACAAACATGCCCTTTGTTTCCGTGAAGCCCCACTTGTTAGTTGTTTCTGGCCTGAAACAGTGGAGCGCTACTCTATAAGTCATTGGGATTCCTTGGCTGTGTTTCTTGTGCTGTTTTAGCTAAAATTTGAGCTAAAATGACTGTTTATTAAAGAATAAAGCCTGTTCAAAATGTTTTCCTTGGGGCTGACTAGATATGATCTAAGACGTATGTCTGTAGTTTGCTGATAAAAAGTATTTCTTCTTGGTATGGATTTGAATAATCTATGTTTCTGATCATTTTTGTTATTGTGTCAAATGGTTGCTTTATTCCTTCTCCCACCTGTGTCTCTAATGACCAAGAGTTTATATCCCTAAGACAATTAAATATACAGTATTCTTTTGTTGTCTGCTTTCTCTTTTATGCAATTTTTCTTTGTAGTTGTAGCACCAACTTGATAACTCCACACATGAGAGCATAACTGATAGACTGATTGTTAGGGACAATGTTGTTGTTAAGTGTCATGGAGTTGCTTCTGACTCATAGGGACCCTGTATAGGGTTTCTGAGGCTGCAAATCCTTTGCAGGAGCAGAAAACGTCGTATTTTCCCCCAAGGATCAGCTGGTGGGCTCAAATCCCTAACCTGTGGTTCACAGTACAGTGTTTATCCTACAAAGCCAGCATACTCCCCGCTAGGTACAATTGTTGTTGTTGTTTTAAGTGCGGTCCAGTTGATTTTGACTCACGGCGACCTTGTGCACAACAGAAGGAAGTATTGCCCAGTCCTCTGCCATCCTCACAATCGTTGTTAAGCTTGTGCCCATTGCTGCTGCCGTGGTGTCAGTCCATCTTGTTGGGGGTCTTCCTCTTTTTTTATTGACCTTCCACTTTACCAAGCGTGATGTCCTTCTCCAGGGGTGGGTCCCTCCTGGTAATATGTCTGATGTATGAGAGGTGAAGTCTGGCCATCCTGGCTTCTCAGGAGCATTCTGGCTGCACTTCTTCTAACATAGATTGGTTTGTTCTTCTGTTCTGTACAGTTGTTGTTGTTGTTGTTAAGTGCCGCCGAGTCGGTTCCGACCCATAGCGACCCTGTACAGGGTTTCCGAGGGTGTAGTGGTATAGAAATGATAGTTAGCACTCTTAGCCTAAGATACTTCCAGGAGTGAGCCCTGGAAGCTGCCATGCTGAGTGCCTTCAGTGGCCAGCTTTTCTTAAGAATAAAAGGAAAAGAATTAAGGACAACATTAAATGCTCCTTTAGAGTATTGTCGGTGTTGTTCATATTACATTGACTCTAATGTTGTGTGTGTTGATTGTCATGACAGCTTGGATAAGTATCTTTTAAACAGAGTATTACAAACAAGCATAGTAAGTGGGTGAGTCTTTTAAAACCATGACTACAGGGAAACCGTGCTCCAAGCATAATGGTCAGCCTCCCTGTCTCCCTCCCAGTGTGTGCTAGTCAGGAGTGAGGTCTAAGTGAAGCGGGACATGTGGCCGTACTCAAGGTCCTTTGTAAAGCAAGTGACCATTCTCTTTCCTGTGATGGAAAAGTGGAGGGCAGGGACAGTGCTTGAGCCTTTCCTATCCCTCTGCTAGTTTGTCTTAGTGAGTCCCTTGTCATTCATTAGACATGTTCAAACACATGCTGACTTGCCACTGAGGTGTCATGGAGGGGCTTTGAGGATAAGGTGTGTGGTTGTGTGTCAGGGTCCCTCCCAACTACGATTACCTTCCAACATTATCAGTTACTATCATGTTTCCATTGCCTCCATCTTACCAAATAAGATATCTCTGCCGTCTCATGCTCCCATCCTGTCTGTTTGGACAACATCCAACCACATATACCTGCATCTGTTATAACAGCTCAGAAATCCCAATTGGAGAACAGGATGTTACAAACACAACAGCTTCGTGCATATAACACCTGTATCTCAAATCTCTTGTAGATAAAGGAATTGTGTAGCTAGGAGTATAATGCTATATATATTATGTTAATATGTATGTTTTGTTGTTGTATGCCATTGAGTCGGTTCTGATTCATAGCAACCCTGTATAGGGTTTCCAGGAACAGCTGGTTGGTTTGAACCACTGACCTTAAGGTTAGCAGTCCAGTGGCTATCCTACAGAGCCTCCAGGCCCCCATCTTTTGGTTATTCAATAGAAAATGTCTCCGAGCATTTGGAAAGTTACTGGGGGCAAGTCAGGTAATACAGAGCTTTGTACTTTAGAAAGACCCCCCTGCTTTTGAGAAATCTTTTTAATGTAAAGTCTCAAATTTCTTGGGTCAAAGAGTGATAGTAATGCAGCCATAGATTCAGCATTCTGAATGATGGGCTGTTAAGAATGAGTGAATGTAGTTGGAATTGTAGATTGAGATTAGTCCTGTTGTCGCACCGTGGGTTAATGGGCTGGACTGCAAAGTCGGTTTGAACTGCAAGGTTGGCGGTTCAAGCTCATCACTAGCTGCTCCTTGGAAACCCTATACAGGGTCACTGTGGGTCAGAACCGACTCAATGGCACTTAACCACCACCACAACAATAGTTTATTGGTCCTTTACCATTGCGTTAGAGCATGAAATCAAAAGGCTTTTTGCTGGTGAATGATTCCAGCCAGGCAGAGCTTGTTAATTCCATCTTGTGCCTAGGGTTAAGTGCTCAGGTACCAATTTTTCTTGAGTGCCTCATGCACCTCTAATGATCCAATTTCCAGACTTAGAAGCAGAGTGTATTTAAAAGTGGGTTTTAGGAACTTTCCTGGGCATGCCCCTTTAATGGCTGTCTTAATGGTCTCCGTGTTCCAAGAGCCTAAGAGACAGTTGGTAAGCTTTTCTACTTAAAATTGTCCCCCTCCCTGTTTCCTTATACTTGGCATGCATATGTGACCATTTCTGCCACCAGTCATGATTGTAGGAAGAGATCCCTTTGTTCCTGTGCCTCATGGAAGGCCACCATGTGGAGGGAGAGCTTTGGAAACTCATATGGATGCTTCACTCACCCAGGTGGTCTGTGTGTCTCTTGTCTTGTTTTTACTCATGTTTTAGGTTTAATAACGAGGCTATATAATATTTATATATGTGGAAATGGGGCCCCTTTTCTCCCTAAAACACTGTGTACTGGTGATGATAGAGAAAAGATGCCTACAATTCTTGCCTTCAGAGAAAGCAGCAGCACAGGGTTCCAAAATGGCGCCACAACTTGCATTAAAAATGGCAGCACCGAGACTTCCTGTCCCCTCTCACATTGCCTCAGAACAGCGAGAACAGGACTCCTTCATACCATCCTTGTTGAACGGGACAGATACCTACAGCCCAGAACCGCAGTGCATGAAGATGGAGAGTGTTGGAGGAATGGCAAATAACTTAGCAGAGGAAGAGACCAAATAAAGGCTGCCCATCCCAGCTCAAGAAAAGTTAGCAACTGGAGATGCAGTTTCTGGAGAAGCAGCAGTGAGTAGGCACCAAAAACAGAGACGTGGTTTAAATGTCTGCCTTGGAAACAACCTCTCATCCCCACCTCCATCTGGCCCATCAGGCGACTGCCCTTCCCCCCACCTCAGCAGGAAATGGGAGGTGGAGTGTCTCCAGAAATAGAATCGACTCTGATGCTTTTTACGTGGGGGTGGGGACACTCTTCCCAGGAAAAGGAAGGGGGTGAGGCATGAGACTGAAAATAGGAGGATTAGGTGAAAATCTGTAGGCTGCAAGAAGACCTCCTCCCACTGCAGAGCACTGACCAGCAGGCTTAGGGCAGCGTAGAGGACCACTGAGAACCTGAACTACTGCCAAGACACCACCTTTCCAAATAGGCTTTGAATGTTTTCACAGTACCTCCGTCCTTCTTGGAAACCTCCAGGTGATGATGAAGGACGTGGCTTCTGTCCCCAGCACTGAGCTAGTTTCATCATCCCCACCCCTCCAGGAAAGGGTGGGCAGCATGCCCTGATGGTTGTTGCTGTTGTTAAGTGTCGTCAAGTTGGTTCTGACTCATAGCAACTCTGTATAGGATTTCCTAGGAGAGGCACAGATGAAGAAAACAGAATGTTGAGAGATGGAATCATTCTTACCAGCTGGTGTTGCTATGGTTTATCTGAGCTAGTTAGCACGGACTCACTCCAGACTCTCATCTTGTTTCCAAATCAGATCTGAGTGTCTCCTCTCACCATGAAGTCGTTTCTAAAGCACAGCGAGGTGTGCTGAGAGCCTTTTTAGAGGTGGTGTCTATGCCTCTGTTCCCTTCCTTAAAGAGGTTCTGTAGAAATGCTCTTCGTTCAAAACTATATGTATTGAGCACCTCCTTTGTACCAATTCCAATGTGTTAACAAGTGGTTGGTTATCTTTTCACAGCTCTTGAGATGTTCTAGGAGGATGCCAAAACCAGAAACAAAAGGAGGAAACCATTAGGAGAAGTGCGCAATTTCAGCCTCGGCAGGAGGGCGATTACAAAGGAATACTTTATAGGCTGCTAGAAATTAAAAACAAGTTAGTTACTGACATCCTTAATATTTTGTTGTTGTTGTTAGGTGCCATCAAGTCGGAACCGACTCATAGCGACCCCATGCACAGCAAAACGAAACAAAGTCCGATTCTGGGCCAACCTCCCTACCGCTGCCACACTGGAGTCCATCAATGATGCCACCTGGC